ACAAAAGCACAAAGAAAATACTGTCACCTATTCCTTATGAAGGCCACCAGTGCCTCCTGGAAGGGAGCTGAAGTGGCACATGTGAACTCCCAGCACTGCATCGACCTCGAGTGCATGGCAGAGTTACACAGAGGATCTTCACTCCCTAGCAGAAAGTTTTGCATTTCTTTGTGGTTTTCTGAGAGTTATTTCTGGAAAGAAAAAAATACTGGTTTGGATATTACTTCTATTAATGCTGATGTAAATTGAGATTAAATCCATTGTCGACCACCTGAGTAAAATCTTCTTTCACAATTTTGCCCCTTTTCTCTCATTATCAAATGAGCCAAGAAGGGGTCACTGAGCAGCCCAGATGCTTGTTTTGTGTGCAGTGCATACTGAAAATGTTTTTTTCTCCCCTCCTGTCTTCAGCATGTAAACCTGTTTCCACATTTATGATGGGAAAGGTTACAATCAGTCTGAATTAGGGAGCTCCAAATAATACAATTCTTACAAAATGAAAGCCTGCGTTGTGTCTCATAAAGAAGTTCAAACTCTTTTCTTTTTTTTTTTTTGTAAAGTCCTAAGCCCCTAACTGCCCAAAAGTAACCCACGACCCTCTTCAAAGTGGCAATTACATGGAGAAAATTAATTTAGGCTTCTGCAAAAATAATGAACAGAGAGACCATAAACCAAAACTAGAACTGTGCTGTTAGATTTCAACTGCTGTAATTTATCATCCAACCTTATGACACTATTGATGTGCCTGAACTATATCCACTTTAAATCACCATAAACCATTGCCTAACTCAGTTCTTCCACTGGCCAGGTGTTCTTACAAGCAACTTGGATTATTTGTCATCTCTCCAGAAATCTTTTAATTTTGTATGAGGTGAAACTGATGGATTCATGTGGGGTCCAAAAAAAATCTTCATAAAAATAAATTCATTGAAAAGTAGTAAGGGATTTTGAAAAGTTCATTTTTAAGTTTTTTAAATGTGGTGCTTCATCAGTTCATACTGAAGAAGAAAAAAAAAAAACCTTCACTCAGGTTTTGTTGGAAATAAGAATAATGCAACTGAGTTTAACTCTTGCAAATGTTCACTGACCACCAAAATGGTGAAGCATTTCCAAAAAAGCATTACAACCCCCCAGACTGAGACAACAAGTAGAAATCTCTTGGACTTATATCCATCCTTTTGAGAATGGAAGGTCTGATCCAGTCCCTGTAATCTGAATTCCAACTCAACAGACTGCTACTATGGCTCTTAAGATTTTACTGGAATTTCATCCACCAGGAAAACCTGTTAGATTTAATAATTTAATTTTTCAAGAAAAAGTTAAACCAGGAAAACCTCTAGCAAACAGAACAATGAAAAATAATTAATTAGCTTCCTTATACTGCTTTGATAGATGCATTGAATAAATCTGAGCTGATTTATCAGTCAAGTGCCTTTATGTGGTAGGTATTAGAATTATCTGTCATTAACCTTATGCTACTAATGAAGGTGCTTGGGTAGAGAAGTTAAATGACTTCCCAAGGTCACATCTGAAGTTGGCATTACAACTCAGGCATTTACTTTCAGCCATTGAAGATAATTTCTTATAAAACATAAAGGGATTTGTAAGGAAAAGATCATGACCCAGAAAAGCACCATGATTTCTCTAACCTCAGTTTCAGAAGACAGAAAAAAAATTGAGAAATGGCTGTGAAAAACCATTGCAAGGAAAAGAGTTGCCCATCTAAATTCTGGAGTGGTACCATCTAAATTCTGTTTTATTTTATTATTATGTTTTACCCCCAGAATCTGTCTGACAATTTGATTTATTTTGTATGATTTACATTATAGTTAAGTTACACCTCACTCTGTGTTTCCAACAAAACCCATAGACAAATCTAGTTGTCAGTGAATGTCTCAAAAAATGACAATCCATCTTTGTTGTTATTAATGTTATGGTAACAGGTGCGGAAGGGAAAATATTATACAATGAAAATGGCTTTTGAGAGGAGATTTAAATATTCTGCAATATGGACTATAAAAGAAAATTAACCTCCTTAAGGCTCAAGCTGACAAAATATATTTTTAAAATTGTATTGGCTATGCAGAGAAAATTCTGCCATTTGTATTCAACAAATATCAAGAAGTGCAATTTTTTTCCCCTCAGGATGGAAAAATGAAGGTTTCATGTAAAGAAATATTAAAACATATATTATTTCTTCCTGACCTTTTGACAGGCTGTCTATTGAGCTTGGTAGGACATCCAAGAAATTCAGATTCAGATTTTGAAATTAATGATTAATACTACAGACTTTTCACAGTATTGAACTGGCAGTGCCAAATTCCTCTGCCATGAGCAAGTGCAACTCCACGCATTTCAGCAGAGCTGTGTTTGCATATCTTAGCAAGCAATTCTGGCCCCGTGCCTGGGAAAGCATCTTACATTTCATAGTCACTTGATTATGGCTCATCTTTAAACCACACTTTACTATTTGCAAGATACTTGACCCACAAAACCAGAAAAATCCATCTGCTAAGATTCCATTGTGCATCAGTAAGTAAAAATGATGAAACTATTTGAAGTGCAAAATCTAGTATAAAAGGGACACAAATATATCCCAAATACGCATTTGTTTCTGCAGACTGATGAACTTGAAATTTGGGGTTAAAAATTTCACTTGCACTAGGAATTAATTTTTTCAAAATTCTTTTTACCTGAACCAGAAATAGTTCTTACTACTAAAAGGGCAAGATCCACCTAAAAGAACCCATCCTTGGAAAAGAGTAAGAATGCACCCACAAGCCAGTACCAGCTATCATAGATATGCAGGACTCAATTAAGAATCTGCTTCTAAGACTCTGGAACAACCTAAATGGCATAAAAATATTAGGTATTAGCCCCGAGACATCTATTGATACCAACATTGTTGTTTTTTAGTGGGGTACAAGCTAACCACATGTTGAAAATCATTTACCAACCTCCATTTGGTCTAAAATACAAATCTAATGTAATGTTAGGCTTGTAAATACAAGACTAAATAACTTAAACTGCATTTTTTTGTTTGTTTGTTTTTTTGGTTTTTTTGTTTCATAGAATCACAGAATGCCCTGGGTTGGAAGGGAGCTTAAAGTGCATCCAGTGCTACCCCCTGCCATGGGCAGGGACACTTTCCACTATTCCAGGTTGCTCCAAGCCCCATCCAACCTGGCCTTAGAGATTTCCAGGGTTGGGGCAGCTTTTCTGGGGGTGTCAAGGTCTCACCATGCTTACAGTAAAGAATTTCCTCCCCATAATAAACATAAATTCTCTCTCTGACAGTTTAACAGCACTGCATTCTTCTTTCTTCCCATTAAAGTTGTGGGTTTTTCTGGCAGGGAGTTTTTGGCTTTTTTTTTTTTTTTTTAACTACACCCCTAAAAGGTATTTTTCCTCCTTTTATGCCATTACCTCTTATTGTATTTTTAAAGTATCTACTTAGCTATTTTTAATTTTTTAATAATGCTATTAGAACTGTCATTGCAACACTTTCCTGCAAATCTGTGGAGGATGTGACTGCTATAACACTAACCCCACATATGTTCACTGCATATAAGCCTACAACTCCACTGCCACTATAGCTATGAACAAACATTGTGGAGGGGTTTTCCATTTGTTTGGGTTTTTTTTTCCTCTCTTTATACACCTACCAGCTATTTCCATTTTCATTGCCACAGCTCCAGTCACAAGGAGGCAGCAATAAATCTTTGCATATACACAGGGGCTGGGCCTGAAGGCTGCTGACAGCCCTGTGATCCTCTTGCAGACAACAGCAATAAACCTTACTGAATTCAGCATTGTACAGAAAGTTTAGACCCCCAAGACCTTCCTTTTGGTACCTACAAGTTAAGTACTTTAGCAAACACCTGATTTCCAGAGCAGAATAAGGTACCTTGACTCCCTCTTTGGTACATGGCAAGAATGAGATGCTCCAGAACATTTGAAAACACACACCCACTGAAAAAAGACATCCAGACATTTACTTTATTAGGGAACTATCCAAATTTACTCAATATTAACCAATAAATCCTTTGCCTCAGCTCAAGCTCTACAGAATTAGCAAGAGTCCTGTTTTAACAGAAGACATTGAGGTATAGTTCAGTACCAGTCAGAGCAGTAATTCCTTAATTGCATTTCTTTTTGCTAAATACCACATTGTGTGACAAGAAAATATGTTGCAAAGGGTCTACAAAGCCTTCAAAACATTGCTAGTACAGAAAAATGCCACACAATGTTATGGAACAAATCACTGAGTTATATTTTTCTTTAAAAACACAAGCACTTTTCATAGTTCTTGGCCCGTTGAAGGCAAACAGAAATTAACATTATAATTTTATTAGATGTCCATTCCATAAGTATCCAAGGTTTCAATAATTGCATTTTATACTCCTCATTGTAGAATAAAGCTATTTCAATATCATCCCTGAAGACTTATAATTATTACTGGTTGACTTTACAGTGTGTACCTTCAGAAAGAGAAGGTACTACAAGTAAATAAACAAATAAATAAATAAATAAATAAATGAGCTACAGCTCTTTTAAGACCATATATGTTCTTAAGACTGTGCCTTCTCTGTACGTCCTTTGCCCTGTTTCAGTTCAGACTGACAAATAATTAAGTCTAGAGCAGCCCTTGGCCAGGACCAGATTGTGAAGCACTGATTTGGCTTTTTGCTTAATAGACATTCAGACATTCATTTAATTGTACTGTTAGTGAAGTCAAACTGAAATTTAATTCTTGTTGCTCATGCCTTTTGACAAACTGCTGGAAACACCATTTCTAACATGCTCAATTGCTGTCATGAACCACTAAACCACAGCACGTTCCTCTGCCTGTCATCCAAACATTTCCAGGGCGATCAACACCATAAAGTTGACCAAAACTCCTGAAACAACATCTCTAACGTTTCACTCAGTATATAACTTTTCCTGCCTCCCCTGGAGGTGCCAGATGGAAATCTGGCTGTGTCCATAAGGTCACTTACCTCCACCAACTTATTGGCGTGTTCACGGAAGACCTGAGCGTATTCCTTCACTTCTTTCTCGTTGCCGCTTTTCGCGGCCTCGATGAGAACCAGCAGTGGGACGTTGGTCTCCAGGAATGAATCTGATATGTGATCCATCACTGCCTTCCGGAGCTGTGACAAAAGACAGCAGAGCAGTAAATAGAGGATATTTATCAGCACACGTTCCCACTGTGTGGGAATCCAGGGCATC